TCTTCTATCGTTCGTCAACTGGCCAATAGAACTCCTCCTATTCTATTAAAAATATCTTGAATACTTAATCCGTAAAAAATCACTCTAAACTTATCTCTTTATATTCAAATTTAATAGAATAAAATTCTATACGGTAATTTTTGTTTTATTTAAAGCACATATAATATCTTTATTCTGATTGGTTAAAAGTATACCTTTCAAACTAACTGTGCCGGTACCGCGAAGATTTTTTTTCTTTTATGTTGAAAAAAGCATTTGCAGAAAACCCAGGCCAGGAAGCTTTATTGTAATTGGGTAATAAATTTTGCAAATCTAAAATATAAAACACCTTTAGATAACCAAGGATCGTGGTGTTTTGTGTTGTAAATATGGCATTTTAACCTCAACCTTTTTCTGAAGAAAATACTAGATTAAGTACGAGGTTCGTTCAATAATAAATGCAACATGTCATCTAAAAATATGAAAAAAGTTCATACTACATATTCTTTATAGTTTCAATCCTTCGAGGCATTCCGTGTTACCCTTTACACATGTATTAATATTTCTTTATCCATGAACAGAAAACCTCAGCATTCTCATCTTGAGGAATGCCCCAAAGGCACTGACATTGTACAATCTTCCTTTGATTGTTTTCATGTGTTTTGGGAATAAAAATATCTCATAATGTCCTAGATCTATCTAATGTAACTAAAAGAAAAGTTCTGTTTTACGTTATTTTCTTCAAAATCTCAAATTTATTTCTCTAAGCTTGTATGCAACTGCGTTGTCGGGTACAGGAAAAATTACCCTGGTCACCGAAATTTGGACTACCCTTGCAAGAAATCTGCTTAACTTGACTTGGTGCAATTCGAACATAAAATTTGCCATTGCTAGTCCTTTATTGGCTATCATCGTAAGTACATGTTCTAACGGAACTCTCAAAATACACGAAAACTAATAAAACATGTTTGGAGCACTTGCTTCTCTTCATCATAATATCACACCTTTTGTTTGATTCCACATTTTTTGAATTAGTAATCTTATTTTTCAGCTCAAAAATGTGCACCTAAGTTTTGTTTATAAAATCTTCCATTAAAAAACATCTTTTTTAATTAGACCGTTGCCACATTTACCACATATTTAATCGAAGACATTTGTAAGAATGATGGTCATCTTTCTGATAGAAATATTGTTATTTTTGGTCTTTGTCAAAATTCTACAAAATGCTGTGGTGATTTAATGTTTAGTATCTTAACGATGTCCTTCCATGTAAATATAGCTTTTTTAGATTGGCAGATATGTTGTACATAGCATCGAGAATTTTTTGTGTCCCCCAAAATTTAAATAGGCCAGACTAATTGTAAAATTTAAACTCTCCTCTTCTCTTCTGAGTTACAGTATTCATCTGAAAACATGGAAAAGTATAGAGCATTAAAGATAACTTTTTTTCTACACATAAAACATGTAAAATCATATAATAAATATGAGTTCTTCGGCGATTTATGTGAATAGCACAGTTTTCACATACGCTGTTATTTTCATTTATTAACAGTTTTCCGCATATTGTATTGACCATGCTTACTTTAAAAGTGAATTTATCTGCGAAGACAATAGAAAAAATCATGGGGTTTTCTGTTTTTAGGACCTCTTTATTAGAACTTTTCACATTGTTTCAACTGCGAAAAAATAGAATTATATGATTCAACATTTATTATGATATCTTAAGTTGCATTACTTATAAATTATCTTTTGTCAGTAATCTGCTTCAATTTGTTTAAAAATTGAGAGTATTCAAAATATGCTTTTGACTTTTGAGTATCGAATATGGTGCACGTGGAAAGCATAAGAACCATACACTGTATATATAGGTGACAAAGGAATGTTATTGCATTTATTAGGAGAACTGATGATGGAACAGCTGACGTTCTATATCTTAGTTGTAAGATGATCGATCCCGTCTAATGTAGTAAAACTTTGACATGTGAAACAGATGTTGCAGACTCTTTAGTGTCCACGAGGATATATTTACATTAGCTGTGTTTTTCTACATGTAGTAAGCCACAACTGTGAAATTGATTGAATACCATTTTCGTGTATACTAACGCGTAGAAATATACAGCGAGAAAGGTGCGCTAATGTGGTGTCACAAGGAGGCTACATAGACGTTATTAAAATTGTAACAATATAGTGCAGTGAGATATTCAAACACTGGGTATATTTTTGGTGTTTTTAGACATGTAAAATGTAAATATAAGCTAGCGCGCATCATGAAATAAGCCTACGTGACATAAATTATATAAAAAGACGTCAATGGTAACCTTACAAATAGCTTTGTGATCATAAATGTGCAAGAGAAGAATTCTAATTTTCAATCTTCAATATTACCTTACTTTCGAACAAATACATGTACATCCTTATGCTGCATATGGGGTTTATATCTCTCAGTTGATTAGAACATACTAAAACGTAGAAAAAATTCTAAAACGAGGCAAGTTATTGTGACAAACATTTTTTAAAGAAGAATATCAACATTCTACTTTAAAGTCATCCTTTTGCAAATTCTGTTGTCAATACAGCCTCGTCCGAAAGACAGGTCTCCACATCCTGCAGTGTGATTCGAATCCGCGACGTGAGGATTTCTTAATCGAACACCCCAATGACTACACCACACCATTCGGTCGACTCGCAAACTCGACATTCAGATATATTGATGCTCTGTCTACTTCCATTCAGTTGGCGATTTGCAGTGAACTTGAAATAATACTACAGAGTCTAACAAACCTGTTATATATTTGGTTGTTTTACTGACTATTATTAAAAAACGAATGACTGTGGGACGTGGAGACCGGTCCATTCGGATGAACCGTATAAACTGAAGCCCGTGTCACAGTAGGCATTGACAAGAAAAAAACATCTCCCACTGCTTAATCGACCGAGTGCCGAGTAATCTGTAAATTTTACACACTAATCTGCAAAAATTTACAACCCTTTAATCTGTCAACTTTTTCACTTAAATCTGTAAAATTTACAGTTTTAAGTGTAAATTATACACTTCAATCTGTAAACTTTACACTTTAATCTGTAAAATTTACACTAAATTAATCTTTATAAATTTTACACCTTAATCTGTAAAATTTACATTTAAATCTGAAAATAATACACACTTTAATCTTTAGAATTTACACTTAAATCTGCATAATTAACACTTTTATCTGTTTAATTTAGCCTTCCACCGAGTCCGAAATATCTGACGTTTTCCAGGCTTTTTTACGATTTTGATATTTTACATGCCAGGATGTAAAATATCAAAAATCGTAAAAAAAAAAAAAAAAAAAAAAAAAAAGCCAGGAAAACGTCAAATTTTTCGGACTACCTGCCACCGTGACCGGCGAAACCGGATGGGACTATAGGTTTGGGTTTGTCTGTCCGTCCGTCTAGCTGTCCGTCCGTCTGTCCCTCTACCAGTCTCTCCCACTTAGCTGATCTTTGGTATGTGAGTGTATCTTGGTGAGTTACAGATCATGTTAACTTTTCATTTTGTTCTGCTTCACTGATTTTTGATGGAATTATAGTATTTTTCATTTTTATAATTTGGTCTGAAATCGGGTTAATGCTGCACTAAATTATTGATTTGAAACAATTGATTTTTACCATGTTAAATGGGCTGTTCTGATCTAAGCAAGCAAGCATGTCTAATGGCATTCAAACACGTCTTCCTTTGTAAGACAGATCGACTTAATACAAAGATATTTCAATCATAAACTAGAAATTGCCGAAATGTCTACATTTTCGGGATACATTTTTATGCACAGGATATCATAAAATGGCATTCTAACGAGAAAAAGGATATCTCGGTAGGGGACATGTACATGTATTGCTTGTGCAATACTCTCAGCATGCTTGTTAATTTTGCAACTTCATACATATTAATAAGTACATACATGTAACTCGCTTTGAAGCCAACAAACCATAAATCCTGCATGATAAAATTTGATTTTAATTTCTTATTTCACAGTAAATCTGGATAATAAATACTTATCAGATATTATATGTATGGATAAACACGAAATACAAATAAAAGCAATCTACTACATGTAGTATGATCCCCAATTTTAACTGTTATATTTTACATCCGACTTGATCGTACATCCATAAACTTGCAATATCAAATACACCATTGCAAATGAGAAGAAAAAAATAGTTGAGATACACGTATATAATTTTTACTGTTTGTCGCCTTTTCCGAAAAAAATATTTTAAGTCATAAATCAGATTCCCGAGATTTTGTTACGGAACATTAACTAAGAGGTCCATGGGCAAATCGCCAATCCTTACTTTTCATTTTATACATATGATATTAAAGTTATAAGCATATGCATACACTTAGCAGCAGAGCATCTCATTTTACTGGTATATTTTTTTTTTTCAAATGTGACAGGTACATGTATAACACCATGAAATGAGCGTCTGTTTATTACAGATTTCTGATGAAATTAAGTGTAAAATTTACAGAGTAATGTGTAGAAACAAAATTTTATGAAAGTGTGAAATCTATACGGATTAATGTTAAATAAGGCTTCTGAGTGGTGATTTTATTAATCCATATAAACACCGCGGATGGAATTTAATTACAATAATTATGGTTATATCTAGATTAAATACAACCGTAATTGATATTGCATATCTGACCACATTCCATAGAGATTTGGACCAACAGCAACTATCACTTTACCAGACAGATCAATAACAAAGAGGGAAAATCAGGTAAAACCGGCTCCGAACCACTAGCTAGTCCATACACCGTATCTTTTTATCTCATTTACCATACCATTATATCCCTCCCAATATTTTATGGTTGTCCTTTTTACACCTGTGGTACCTTTATCCAAATGATGTGCCAAAAGGCACGGATCTTTACATACATGGCAGATTACCTTGAGGTTTTGAATAAAGTCAGCTGACCGTGAAATTTGAACTATTGACCTCCTGCTGTCTCCGGTCGGTGTCTTGTTTGTAAAGTTCTGTAGGAGGATTAAGGCACACGGTGTTTTGAAGGATATTTTAAATTCTACAGAAGCTTAGATCTAACACAAGCATTTGCATGAATTCCTTTAATTGATTAGCTTGTTTATATTTTTTATGAAAAAATGGAGTGTCGTTTTATTTTGGGACTAGTTTTTTGTGTCTTTTTAATATCCGTAGTGCAAGGTAAGTGAAAAATTATTTTTTTTTATCAGTTACATGCAACGTTAACATCAATTCCCATTCAGAAATGTAAATTCTTAAATTAGATAATATAGAATTTGTAAACTGTCAAGAACGATTTTGAAAGTAAAAAATGTGCACGTGTAAAGGTATTTTTTTTAGCGTTAATATATTGATTTTACCGACATTTTTTGTGTGACAATCGATGATATGTTTATATTGTTATATGTACTTATTTTATCATTTTAATGTTAACTTATCAAATTTTAAAATTTGAAGTAAATGAAAAATAATATTTCGCCAACACCATTCAAAAATGTACAGTATTGATTTGTTTATTTAAAACCTGATGTTAATGGAGAAATCTCCCTTGCCCTCGCCCCGTGATCTTTCCGCGTCCACTCCCCAACGGCCATTGACTTTCGTTTTGTTTTGTTTGTCAAAATAAGACTGGATAAAATCGAATCGTTGACCTGTAGGGGAATAGAAGCCCGGTCAAAGAATACCAAATTAGGCTATATGACATGCAAGAGTGAAGAAATAAGAACATGGGGGAGGGAGGTGAAAGGAAGATGTAGGGAATAAATGGGGGGGGGGGGTTATTATTACATATAAATAAGGAAATTCAGATTTTTAAGTTCATTTGTCCATGTATAGATGCAACAAATTTAGATTCCTTAGATTAATCGTCCCCGTCCGGTAATAATTTAATTGTATTTGGTTATTGATATTTTCTTTTGAGGGGGGGGGGGTTAGGATATTAAAGACATACACCTGAGAGTTTGTAATCTGAAGTTATAGTTGTTCAAAGCAGCATTGAACAAGCTGTAATATTACGTCGGCAATATTTAACCTGATTATATTTAATCCTTAAAAGCTTAATGTTTAAGAATATCAAACAAATTACACTAAGAGGACTTGTACTTGTCATTATGGGTATGGGTATGAATCTTGACAACGCAATGTTCTCAAGTGGTCGACGGTCGTTCAAAATTAAATTTAAACGAATAATGTAAGGTTAGTAATTTAGTGTACACGGATATAAGGATAGGAACCTACGATGTTGTAAAGTGAGAACTCCTCCCTAGTTGTTGGACTCTTGACCTGTTATTGGTCGTCTTGACCATCAAATTCCGCTTGTCAGTGTGCAACCATAAAGTGTACATGTAAATACTTGACGTGTTTACAATCTACTTATGTCGATATATAAAGGCTTGTTTTGACGCCATCAATTTTTGAGAATAATATGAGATTTTTTTTTGTCCCAATAGATCTGTCTTATTGATACTATATGTATGACCTCAAAGTAATATTGTTTATTTAAGGAATAACTGTCTTATTTTTCGATTTCATGATACATGTATGATCAATCGATTGCTTTGCGTTATAATTTGCATAAAGGCGTTTATGCATAACATTATCACGCAAGCCAATCAATTGAACATCTTCATGAAATCGAAAAATAAGACAGTTATTCCTTATGTTTACATGCTCTTGAATCCGCCAATCCACGTGCTACAAGCCCTGCTTCTGTCTAGCTATTTGTCCTGCCCTGCACGTGATTTTTTTTAAACCGCGCCTACTGATGAACCAGTACATTCATGTAGAAATAAAGTACATTAACTATTTATAATTATATCTCAAAGACATTGGAAATGTAAATATTTATGCTTCAACTCATTCAAGATCGATTGCTAGACGCACAGAGAATATCTTGTCTTAAATGTCCACAAAACCGAAGCGTTGTATTTCGCTGTACATGTACATGTGTATGATCATTTACCACCAACTTTTAACATCTCTGAAATGACCCTGATAGCCAACTTATTAGTTTATATAAAAAATGTTAATGAGTAGGTTCTGGTAAAAAGAAGATTTGAAAAAAAAATAATATCGAACAAATTATTGTTATATAGAAATTTAAAGCCCAATCCTTATTGAATTACTCAATAAAATATGTTTAAAGTAAAGCTTTTTTAATTAAAAAAAACATATCAAAGTTTCATTTAATTAATGCTCAGTTTACAGGTTCCGCAGATAATGCATGTAATGGTAGGAATATTGTTTGTAAAAGCAGAATAAGCGATATGCTAAATGGAAGCTAAGTGAATTAGGCTAATTAAAGACATACACCTTACTTTTAATTTTACCGAGAAAAATAACAAAATTACTATAAAGAATAAAAACAATTGTAATGATATCCTCTTAAAAAAAAACTATTAAATCTATGACTGCAGTACAAAAATGGGATCACATAGATCTATATTAGCCAATATATAGAATTTAAAACAAATTTGACGTGATGCATATTCTTGTATACATTGTACGAGATGTCTTTTGATTTTTCAGCGCTGAATCCGGATGGCACATGTAGCAGTGATAGCGATTGTCCGTTCTCCTTCTACCATTGCTGTTCCGGAACTCAATGGTGCTGTCCTTCCGGGTACATTTGTACCGGAACTGCAACCTGTATTAGTATCGGGTACGTAAATATTCATTATGGTGTAAATTAAACTTAAAAATAGATCAGAACATTCGTATTTTTTAAAAGATTTGTGTTATTACCCTGATCATTGATAAAGGATAGAAGGCATGATAAAAATGTACACCATATCTTGAAAATGTACATTTCATATTTATTTTGGCATAGATCTATACAACGAAACTGAGAGAAAGAGAGATTCTAAATATTTGGTTACAAAAAATGTCTTTGTTTTTTAATTATATACATGTACTTACCCTTTTTTCTCTTACCGTAAGGAATTAAAAATGTATCAAAACGTTTGTGCTTAGAGAGAAACAGTTTTCCCCCAAAACAAATGTTCTATTTAAGGGATAGAAATAGCCTCACTCGTTTACGAAAGTTTTAGGAAATTGTCATTGATCAGAAAAATCTAAAAACTGATAATGTACATGTATAATGTACCATATGCATTCATGCATTGTATCCTAAAATATATATAATTCACAACACAAAGTGTATTCTCAATCGCTAGATCTAGTGATTAAATTAGACTTCAAATGTTATAGTATTTCCTAATATTTTTAAAGCCTTTGCATGTTTCTTGATTTATAAACACATACAGGTAAGTCCAATACCAATCTTGAAGAACATGCCATTTTTCTTTCAGAGTAATCGTCGGTCCTATCGTCGGTCTCATCGCTATCATCGTCTGTGTCGTCGTTTGCTGCATTTGCTACAGTAAGTCATTTTTTATTGGTGTGATAAAATATATTAACAAGTACAGTCAGACCTTTTCATCTCAAACTCTACTTGATTTAAAACGAATTTCGAGATATCCGATGTTTCGAGATATCTAGGTTAAAAAAAAATTGTGGTTTGTACTGTCAATTGTCTGGCATAGTTATGAAGATTTCAATGATAGAGATAAATTTCAACTGTACATCAATCAATTAAGTCTAAAGAAATTTCTAGAGAAATCTATTTTTTCCATTCTCGATATCGTCGTCTTTTAAATTGATTATTCAAAATTTACCAGGAAAGAGACAACAAACTCCAGGTGTTGTTTACAACCCTCAAGCCGCTCAACCTGGCTACGGACAACCACAGGCTTACGGACAACAAACACAGGCGTACGGACAACCGCAGGCCTACGGACAACCACAACCGTATGGACAACCACAAGCCTACGGACAACCGCCGGCAAAAGCTTGAAGTGTTTGATGAGAGAGAGAGAGAGAGAGAGAGAGTACAGCCATACATATTTTACATTTATGCTTGTTCGAAAGATATAAATGTTTATGACATTGAAATTAAGCTTGCATATTGCCGAAGGATCATTTAGTTTGTTTATATTTGATACTCATAACTTCGTTCCTATTTTTAACATATGATTGATATAAATTCATGTATTCATATTTTTAGTTTTTAAGCATCAATATTTTGTAAACAATCAAGTAAGGGAAGAGGGGGGGGGATAAAATGTTGTGAATTAGATTGTAAATGTGCCTGATTTACTATTACTAGTATATAATTGAAAAAGGGGGGGATTAATGAATACAACAAAAAAAGGTAAATCACAACTTTAATAATCCTATATTATGTATATATTTGAAGAAAAGGGGGGATAACATGGACTAAACTTTTCTATATGTAATATAATTTTATAAGAAATTCTTGAGTTTTTGTTTTTACAAAACGCTCATTTATGACATGCAAAGAAATCCATTTTTTTAGAGAAATTTTACAAATAAAATTTGTTTCATAGTTTGTTGTCGTTTTATTTGACTACCTGAGTTGTTCCTCCTTTCCGCCAGATTCACATTTTACTTCTCAACTAAGAGAGCTTAGTCAAATTAGTTTTGATATTAAAAGGTAACAATAACGGGGGGGGGGGATAACCTCACTGATATTCTTGGTTTCCATCTTTTTTCGTAAGATTAGGATAACAGCAATAACATAGATTATGTATTTTCTGGGCATATGGCTTAAAAAATTATGAACGTTAAAAAACAAAATGTAAAGTATTAACATAGTGTGTTTCTATATAGATATTACTTGAAATGAAATTTAAAATTAGAATAACAAAACTTTAAAGTTTACTGGTTACATTTGATAAAATAGATTGCATGGAGTTCTATAAAAATTAATTATTGTGTCCGAAAAGAAACATTCATACCCAAAAGAGAATAGCAAATACTGTTTTAATCAGTAAGAAAAATGACAATCTAGTGTCTGGTGATGGTAACATAAATATAAAGAGTGTTTCTTATTTAGTAAATATACCAATATCTTGTAAAATTCTAAAGAGAGTAGGGCGTTTTGATTTAAATGTTTCAGAAATATAAGGGTAGTGTTTGAGTTTTAGTAATAAATGGTACAAAATTTAACCCTAACAACAAAATAGTATTTTCAAAAAAAAATTTTTTTTGGTAATGGGGGTTGTTTGTTTGGTTTGGTCAAACAAAATTTTACACCACCTCAGTTGCAGGAACTTGGAGAACAAAGCTTCAGAGGAATTTTGGTAGAAATTTGTATAATCAACAAATTATGAATATGTAGTTATTTATAAAAATCTTTTTTTCGGAGAAAATTTCTCTAATTTGTCATGATCTTGGCTATTTAAATGTAATAGAAATCATTTTAATGTTTCGTTTTGTATCTCTAACAAATCAGTGCTAGCTGACTTGAATCTGAATGCACCAAGATGTTCCTATACTTCCTGATGAATTTTGATAACAATGCTCCATGATACTTTCAGTACTTTGTCTCCTTGCGATAATTATCGTGGCTCATCGCTATCATCGTCTGTGTCGTCGTTTGCTGCATTTGCTACAGTAAGTCATTTTTTATTGGTTTGATTAAATATATCAACAAGTACAGTCAGACCTCAAACTCTACTTGATTAAAAACGAATTTCGAGATATCCGATGTTTCGAGATACATGTATCTAGGATAAAAAAAATAGTGGTTTGTACTGTTATAATCGTCTGGCATGGTACTGAAGATTTCAATGATCGAGATAAATTTCAACTGTACCTCAATCAATTAATTTTAATTCCCCGAAACCTACAAGGATGCTCCATATCGTCTTTTAAATTGATTATTCAAAATTTTGAAAGAGAAACTGAAAAGGTGTTGTTTACAAAAGCCGCTCAACCTGGCTACGGACAACCACAGGCTTACGGACAACAACCACAGGCCTACGGACAGCCACAACCGTAAAAAAAAAACATGCTAAGTCTTGAAAATTCAGCTGTGTGAGAGAGAGAGAGAATTAAAGAGAGAGTAAAATTACATTTATGCTTGTTCGAAAGATATAAATTTTTACACAATAAAATTAAGCTTGCATCGTTAATTGCCGAAAGTTCATTTGGTTTTTTGAAGAGATAAAATTTTTCACATTAAAAATTTAAATGTAATATTTTTGTTTCAAAATTAATAATTTAAACATAAAATTGAAAAAGAAAGAAATTTTGAATTAATTGTTAATTTACCTTCGGAAGCAAATTGAAAGTGGGGGGGGGGGGGGACCAAGCCAACAAAAAAGGTAAATCTCAATTTTCGATGCCTACATATTATGTATATATTTAAAAAATGGAATTACATAGCTTTACTGACTCTAAAGTGTCTTCTTCCCTCTTTTTCTAGCTATATATTACATGTACATGCAATAACATTCTCAACAAAACCTTTAACTTTTAGAAATAAAATCATTTTTTTAGTTTGTTGTCGAATATATTGGCACAGTTGTTTCTCCTTTAATCCAGGTTGAAAATTGGTTTTCAAATAAAAGTTCCTCCAAAAAATACTTTTAATTTCACTAAGAGTTCTTCTTGTGAGAGAGTTTTATGAAGCTAGAATTATCTGCCCTTAGAAGTACGTAACAAAGAAAGAAATGATTATAATTTACAGTTCATTACACTCTTTGTAATTATAAATTAAACCACTGTACATACATGTACATGCTTATTTTCGCCCTTTCTTGCAAACAATTTTGCCTCATTTTAGATTCGCCCAACCACACTTTTGTTAAAGAAATTATATTGCATTCTTTGAATTCGCCCCGTTTTAAATTCGCCAAATTGCAACAGAGGTTAGGGCAAAAATAAAACGAGGTCGAAAATTTCCCTGTATACAGTATTACTGAATCATATGAAAACCTAGAATGAGTAATTGAATTAATTTTATCATTCCCAATGATATTTCAATGCAAGTAAACGACAGTGATTGCTGTGAACTGTCTTTGAACATTTTTCCTGCCGAAATAAGGCAGGTACTGTGTTGAAAATGAACTTAACAGCCTCAGTATGCACATCTTTATATTGATGTATTAATTTTCTCATAGTCCAAATACACTTTTGTCAGTATTTAAAGATTACTTTAAGTCGTATTATTCCAGACTTCTAAATTGATTGATGGAACATTAATTAGAGCGTTAATCAAAGGCTCCAATCGGCGTATACAGAATTCTTGACACAAAGGGGTTGGGGGTTGGGTAGGAACCCAAAGCCACACAAAAAATGATATATTAAATGAAATTGAGTATATTTTGTAAACAAAGGGGGCATGGCCCCTGGGTCCCCCTCTAAATCCACCAGCCTCGGATTAAACCATATTAATCGTGCATACATCGATCACGTTAAAGGGCGGGTTTTTTTTCTGGGCGATTATAAAGAAATGTGTCGTAACTGGTTTTGAGTTATTAAAAATTTTAAGGTGTCAGGAAAGAATTTTAACCAAGCAGATACCTATCTTGTTTATTTTATAAACAGGTTTGGTAATTTAACAAATGCACACCCGGAATTTTAAAGAAAAAGTATGTCAACTTGATGTTTACGTAATGTTGATTTAGAAATTTAATGCACGTACGCACATCAATGCAGTGTTATGCTCTATTGCTTATTAGTTATTATATTTGCGTTCATTCATAAGAAACACGTATTAAAATAATTTATTCATTTGCAATAAGAATCAATTACAACTAAGATATTGTAATAATCATAAAAAATATTATTTTAAGAAAAACAATACGATCATATACCGGGTATACATGTACATGTATATCAATATACCTAATGCAGTTACAATGATGTTATCCAAATTTAATGCCTACTTAAAAAAATATTAAATCTAAACAATTTATAAACCACCTTTGCTATATATTTTAAATTTTTTTTTTGAAATTTAATTTTTTTTTTTAGAAATTCAGGTAATACACAAATATGTATCAATTACTCATTGTCAAATGTTTACTTATCTTTTGTGTATGTTTCTACATTACGAAAAATTACATGAACATTAAAAAATATATATATATTAAATTAAACAGAACGACATGAAATGTAATTTTCTAACCGTATTCTGAATCTTTTTTCTTTCTTAAAATATTCAAAAGGATTGAACTCCTCAAAACAAACATTGAATAAACATCCGGGTTCAAAATTATATTTCGATGATGTTTCTTTCTACGCATGTTAGATAACTGCACCTTTAAAATTCGTAATACCTTTCTGCAGGTTATTGCGAAATCAAGTCATCGGTCTTCAAAATACATTTCGCTTAATCAGTGGCTGTAATGAAACGTATAAAGGGCATCATTAATACAATAATTAATCTTTTTGCTACTTTAATTGATTATTTCCAATAAAACCTGTGTTGATAGTTCTAATATTTGGTTTTATTTACCTTTACATTTCAGTAAGAAGAAGCAGTTCTAATATTTGGTTTTATTCCTATTTTATTAAATCTTTTAAATTTACTTATATTTTAAATCTTAATTTACACGTTTCTTCAATTTCAAATTCTTTGATCTCCCGAACTTCGAGAAAAAAAAAATAAACCGAGAATTGATTTAAATATTTGAATTATTGTCATTACAAATATTTATTTAAGTTAGTTTGTAGTATTATAATATGTTAAATTGTTATTAATTAAGTAATTAAGGATCAGCTGATAATGCTTTGGAGACAACGGAATGTCATTCAGGTCCTATAATATACACGGTCGGATACATGCATTGACGTGTAAAAGATCGATTATTTAGTCCTAGGTGTTATAAATATTTGATAAATTTCAGTTTCCTAGGAATATACATTTATCTTATTGTTTTTCATAATGTTTTCGTTGGAAATATAAATGTTACAATACTTGAAGAAAAAATTGAAAATTTTCATTAAAACAGCTCTTAGTGACTTGTTATTGCCAAAGACCTTTTATTATGCACGTGTAATATAATTATGAAGGTCATTTTGTATATAAGAATGAAACATTTGTCATTTTTAATCATTGTGCAATTTCTTAACATGACACAATTCATTCGAGGCGACCTATTTTTATACATTTTTACTATACAATAATAGAGGGTCTCCAGTTATATTCTGCAAATTCTAATTATCAAATGGTTGACAAAATTAATAGGGATTAGTTCTTATTATTAAGGGA